TACCATGACCTAACTTAATTGCCTCTACAAAACACACGTTAGTCATAGTAATCTTGTATTGCCATTAATCACCGAAACCCAACTAGGGGTCTAGATGCTTTCACTGGAAATCAGTGTTAAGTCAATTTTGGGAGAAATTTCAAATGAATTTTCATAGACAAAAATTGGGCAAATTTTGTTTCATTAGTTGGTACTATGCTTTAGCTATGTTAATGTGTAATTAGTTGATATGTTTAATAGATGTTTAACCACTAATTAATCAACCAAAATTTGCTAATCAAAACTGTTTTTAAAAGCCTTAACTGAATCTCAGTTTTCAGTTTCAAATTCCTATCTTCAAAATTCAAAATCTTCAAAACCGTCGAGATTTTGGTGTCAATCCTTAAAATAAAGTTGAAGATCTCGTTGAGTTGATCAAGTGCTAGTAAAGGAGTTGATTGAGTTTCTGCTTGAAATCAAGAGAAAAGGAGGGAAGAAGATGGACTGTCAGTCGATGAACAGTGCACGCCAGAAGCAGTCTGCTCCTCTGCTTTGCCGTCAGTGGCCGCCCACTGTGCTCCTCTGCTTTGCCGTCGGTGGCCGCCCACTGCCCCTTCGCGCCGCTTCTCGCGCCTGGGACACGCAGCTGCCTGCGTGGCTGGTTCGAGCAGGAGATGGCGCACCCAGAAGCTTCGCCCTCACCGTTAAATACCTGAGCCGACGGCCAGCTCTCCCTTTCTCTTCTCTGCTCGTCGCCGAGCTCCTCGGTCCGCCGGCAAAATTTGCCATGGCTGCTCCGCCTCCGCCCAGTATCTCATACCTACAGTTTTGCCTCTCCCTCGCGCATCTCCTTGACCCGCTCGCGCCGCTCCTCGCTGCCGAAATCTGCCGCGCGCGCCGTTCCCGTCGCGGCGGTCTACCATGGCCGCCATGAGCGCCTCCACCGTGACCTGGCTCCTCCAGTGCACCTCCTGCTCGTCCGTTTGATGCTATCGCTTCCTTATGATTCTTTGATGCTCATCAGCTCGCTGTGTTGGTCAATCGTGCTCAAGTTTCGCCGGAGCACAGCCTGCCGCGGTGTCCGCCGTTGCAGGACCGCCGGCGCACGTGGCCAGACCTTCACCGACCATCTCCGGCCACGATTCTTCCTTCCACGGGTGCGGTCAGGCATGGAGATGCCCCTTCACCTCTACCTCGCCGCTGACGAGCATCAACCGGCCGGAACCAAGCCTCGCCGTGCGCCTCCTCTATTCAAAGCTGTTCCAGGCGGTTTTCTGCAGAAACTGTGACTCAGATGAATAGTGCGCTACAGGTTTTTTCTTTTTCTTTTTGTGTTTTTAGCTGAAAATTGTGAATTTCATAACTAATTCTAGAAGCATACTAAAATTATGAAATTTGTTCTGTAATCTTGCTATGCTATTCTCTACCATGAAAAAATATGAATTGGTCATAATCAGTAGTTTTGCTATGCTTAAAAATTACCTCTTTTAATTATAAAATGGACCTTACATGATTTTTATTGGCTAAAATAATAATCCTAAAATCATGAAACTTTTTATGTATGCTTAATATGTTTATTCTTGCCTTCACAAAAGTTCAGCACTGTTTTGACAATTATAACTTGGTTAATTAATTTAAGTGTGTTTAAATGCTTTATCTTGATTAATAAATACAAAAATGATTTATATAAATACTTAAATGGCATTGGGTGTATTTTATACTTTGATTGAAGACCTTGGAATACCAAACCCCTTGTGTTCCTTGGCAACTCTTTTACTTCCTTCTTGTACTCATGATTAACTTGCTAGTTAATAAATAAAATAGTTTACTCAAATAACTAATTAGTAAATGCATGTGGTTAGGTCATGTAATGATCCTTGCTGCCCTCATGATTGAACTTGATGCAATGTTAGTTAAATACCTTGTCTTGCTTGATTAGTATAATATAATAAGTGTTGCTTTCATGACAACAACTAATTAACTTGTTAGTTAAATAACTAAAATGCTTTTATAATAATAACCCTAGTTCTTTGGTGATGGAAAGTTGTACTCAACTTTCTTAGGTTAATTTAAGTTCTGTTATGCACTTGAATGTCTCTCATCATGCATCATGTCATGCATTCCATCATGTTAAGCAAAGCATCATTTATTACGTGTAGTGTACGAGAGTGTGAAGATTCTGTCGATCAAGTTCCGAAGAAGGTTCATCCACGTTTGGTGTTGGTGCCCAGTCTTAATTTCAGTGGCCTTTTCCGTGGAATCTAACCTTCTCTGCAACGCAGGCAAGCCCCGGTGCATAAACCCTCTTTTAGTATTTATAAATCTTTATTACACCTTAAGTCTTGTGAGATGTGCATTAAGTAATTAGGAGTTGGTCGAATACTGTTGCTGCATGATTACCTTGATAATCAGGTATTCCTAGTTATACCCTGCTAGTATGTGTAGGTCGTTTCCTCTTATGCTTAGTAATGCTTAGACTTCGATAGATGTCGAATGATGGTTTCATCATTCGTGGGAAGCATGTTTTACCTTGGTTCTTCTCGGCTCTGTTTGTGGGTCATGAGCATACCATGAATATGTTAATGTTAAATTAAGACGGGGCGGGTGGCTTGCATCGTGAAATGAATCGGTGTAGTGCTCCACCTGTATCGATTAAGGACCATTCGTCGTTTGGCCCTTGGATCGAGTTTTTTGTAGTACTGACCACATACTCCGGTAAGCCTAATATCTCCGCTATTCCATTATGAGAAAAGCTAACCGCTCACTGGGAGTGGGAGATGGCGAGAGTAGCGTGTACCCACCCTACGGAAACATCACGGATGACGTAGGGCGGTGGAGTACTGTATTCTTGGGTAGCGCGGACCGGTTCATGTTTTAGAGGATCCGGGTGAAGGTTGATATATGTAGGTCTCGGACCTGCATATGTCGTGTGGTTGGGAAACCCCTGCGAGCCCTAATCGATTCGAATCATCGTTTGCTCTATGGTAACAGGAGACTTGATCCTCGCACCATCATCGTAGTTAATCAATGGAATCATGGTTACTTGTGGATAAGAGATGAAATGAGATGAGATGGTTAATGAAGTGATTGATTTAGATCAGGTGCAAACTGGATACTACTAATAACTTAAAAACATTGAAAGTAAGGATCTACTCATAGTAAGCTTTTCTACAAAAGTTATTTCTTGCTTCAATCTTTTCTTAAAGCCAGCATGCCCTTGGAGTCTTTTTCTTTTGGTCGGGTAAGACTTGTTGAGTACCCTCAAGTACTCAGGGTTTGTTAACCCCTGTTGCAGGATCTGACTTGAGCTGCTAATCGGGATCATGTCGGTGGGCTCGACATGATTTGGCTGTCACTCCTACCTTAGATGCTTCACCTAAGTTGATTCCGTAGTCCTATTCATCTTTTAGAACTTAAGTTTTTACTTGAACATGTTTTGTAATTTAATATAGTAAGTCTTCCGCACTCCGATATAAGTTTTTTTATATCAAATATTGTAATATTGTGGTAACTCCATGTTGATCCTGTATGAGTTTAAAATGCGGATGATTCGGGGTTCCCTGAGGACATGCGGCAGACTACCGGAGTTATCTGGCTCTCATGTGCAGTAGTTAGAGATTTTTAGGACAATGATAGGCACATGTGGGCCATATAATTTGGGTGGTTCTGTCATAGGACAACTCAAGAATAAGGGAGGAGATGAAGGTTCATACAAGAATGCCATTCAAGAGTTGCTCAAGGAGAAGAAAGAGGAAAGGAAGATGAAGGATTTGAGGTGGCAAGAGGCCAAGACAATTCATGAGCGCAAAATATCTATTGAGGAGAAACGATTGATTTGTGAACAAGAGCAGAAGATTATGCTCTATGATGTGAACTCATTAGTGGTTATTGACTAGAATAATTATGTCTTGCCAGTGAGAGCACAAATCACGGCACCGAAGATGGCCGAGTTCTCTGAGATCCTTGGTGGTTATAGTGGTGGTAGTTGCATTGTAGGAGACGATGGACTTGGCGGCGATGCATCTATTTAAGCTTTGTTTTATGGTGTTTCATTTACATTCTAGCGCTGATGTGGTAACTATGTTATCGTACTTTGCAGTGTCGTACTTTGATTAATTATGTTTGAACTATTTCATTTAAATCAAGTTTCAAATTTACATATTATTTGTGATGACATACTTCGCCCAGTGGCGAAGCTAGAGTAAAATAGTGGGGGTGCCCTTCTCTTATAGGTGTGAAAATTTGATCTACAACCATGGTAAAAATTTGTTTCTAATAGAGAGTTTTCAAATTTCTATGGGTGCCTGGGCACCCACAAGCTACTACGTAGCTTCGCCCCTGACTTCGCCGTCTTAAATTCTAGATGCAAAATGAAGATCAAATAGCATGTTTTTAAGAGAAAATAAAATTGGTGTCCTGTTTTAGGTAGTACTGCTAGAGACAACAACAAAAATTAAACCCCCTGAAAGTAGGTGTCTACCTAAATAGAAAAGTAGGGGCTCTATTTTAGGTAGTACTGCTAGAGATGCTCTAAGATGTCCGATTTAGCTAGGCGATATATATTTTCTCTTATCATTGTTACCTTTGCCAAAAAAATCTAGATCAATAGAAATCCAATTTTTTTAGAACCTCTTCAGTATTTCAAAGGACATCATAAAGATCGGCAAGATGTTGAAATGCATTATGGAGTTTTGTGGAAATGCATAAGTATGCCTAAATACCTGAAAGGGTATGACCCTACTTCGCAACCAAAAAGTTCAGTATATTCATGCTCGAAATTTTTTGCTTCTCCAAAACAAAAAAAAATGCTTCTGTGAAAATCAATCTTTACACCTGATAGTTGTTCAAACACCCATTATTATTCATACAAGCGCATAAAATGGCCTACACACAAACACTGCCATTTCGGGAAAATAATGATGGGAAATCACAAAGTAACAACTTTTGGCAAAAGAGAGGCAATGAATGATGTTCCGCAATTGACTTGAAACTATCATACAGCTGAAGGGCCAGTCCCTGGATTAGCCCTCCTGATCCTTGTCCCTATTAAGGTTTAGAATGCCAGCATGAGAAAGCAGAGCCCAGATATGGGTGAGAAACTCCCCGCCATTTTCAAGATGTTGCATGTGTTGCTTGGTAGTGGTGTGCGAGGCCGCAGCATGGATGATTGTCTCGGCCCAGAAATCTTCCAACAACTCCCAGCGATCTCCATCCGGCATGCTCTTTAACTGCTTACCGAGCTTCACGCCTCTTTGGAAGATCTTCTTAGCGTCATCTTCCTCTTCTGTCCCTTCTAATTTCTTCATTATATTGTAAATCTTGGGAAGTCTATAGGATCCAAAAAGCTCCCTACGTTCTTCCATCACCCTTTGTGCCAACTCTGCTATATCCGCCTTGTGGTATGGAAGCAGTTCTGGGACAGATCCAATCAAGTATGTGCAGTATCTAGACAAATGAACTGCAACGCCTCGGTGACTACCTCGATTAATCCTATTTCTTCTGTGGTTTGGAAGCAGTTCTAGCACATATTCAAACATGTGTGGACAGTATCTCGACAAATTATCTGCAAAGCCTCGGTGCTTATTACATCGAGTAGTCCCATTACTAGGATTAGGAAGAGAAATATCACAATATTCAGTTGCGATGTGCCAAATTAACATGATTTCCACCCGAGAGAGATCCTTGAGTGCCCAAGAATACTTGTCAAACATTTGGCTCTGCCAGCTGACTGGTGTTTCTCCTAGGTTGCCATAAGTTGATATGAGTGATCTAGCAACAGCTCTCTTCATTGCATCAGAAACCTCTACTGGGTCTGGCTGTTTCTGTCGTTGGAAAATAACTGAGTGCTGGTTAACCTTATTTCTCAACTGTCCAGAAATCATAAACTTTCTAAAAAAACCAATAACCTTTTCAACAATAAATGCATTGGGTGCACACCAATATTTCTTGACATGCATGCAGGCTAGTGATACCTGGGCCCAATTTGAAGCCAGATAAACTGCTTTTTGCACTAGTTCCACTATGAAGGCAATAAAGAGAACTAGTAGAGTAATGATGTAATCAGCGTTTGAAATGTGTACCTCTATGATAGGATTTGGTGTCTCAAGAACCAGTGATTTTTTTATGGCAAAAACCAATACAATTAAAATGACAATAATCTTGAGTAGAATCAAATATTGAATGAATGGCACCGATGAAATATTCATCCATACGAAGGTATAGTGATACTTTGTGAAGAAGAAATCGTAGCAAAAACCCAACTCTACCTCAATAATTCTGAATGCTCTTTTGAAATCCCCTTCAGATGGCAACAATTTTTTGAATACAAAATCATGGTCTTTAAGAAGGCTGGTTTTGGGAAAGATTTCCCCAAAATAGCGCTGTCTCAGGAGCCGCCAGAACAAGGCACAGGACAGGCACAGGTCTTTCAATGCTTTGCCATCAGCTGAGTTACCACAACAATCCCATATCTGTCAATAGTAATGAATCGAGGCAGACGATAACAGACTACATACTTGTAGCCCCTCATGCTCTGTTGAGAATCAGAGTCACAGGCTCGATGATCATCACTTGCACTTTCTTCTTCCGTCCTCTCTGCAAGTTTTGTGAGACGGCTCTTCTTCAATGTGATGAAAAGACTCCTCTTCCTCCTGTAACTAGAAATTACTAAAAAAAAGGATTCAAACGTCTTTGTCAATAAAACGACAGCAACAAGAGCGGTAACACATTGTGAACTTGCTCTGGAACTCTTCAGATGCCGCTTTAGGTCCCAGGCTGTCTTCAAGGTATAAGTATTTGGATCCATTAGCAGAGTGAACATAAGTATGTAAAAGGCATCCTGAAGATACTCGACAAAAGCTTGCATGCACTTGTTGAAAAAGCTGCCATAGAAATCAAATTGCCGGACGGCGGCGGTGCCTGCTGAAGCCATGATGAGAAAAGCAGCCCAGACGGGATACGACGAATTCTTGATCGGGGAGGACTGCATCGTACCCAAGGTGTAGATGATGAGAGGATTCATAAATGTGGTAGACACCTGCAGGCCAAATTTGACGAAGGTGGAGTCATGCCACCGTCGCTTGCAAGAGCCCAAGATGAGCTGGAGAAGCAGCAACGCAGCGGCTGCTACCACCAGAGCTTCCACCAGGTTGATCGTCTTCCTTGGGTGGTTCAACCAAGGGGACACAGCCTCCATTGCCCTCGTCATGTTAACCACTCCATCTTTCATGGAACCCAGCTCCAGCTCCATCTCCATAGAGGGACTGTAGATGAATGGAGATGTGTGTGTAAGTAGTATGTGTTGCTCTTGAGGAATTGGGTGTTTAAATTTGTTTCAGAGGGTACAGCTTACATATGGTGCAGGCTTCCTCAAACTAATATGGTGCTGGCTTCCATCCATCAATGAATGGTATGGCGAGAGTATCGTACGGTTCATACATACCAGTACTCCACATACAGCTCTTTAATTTAGGGATTCTAAAATAAATACTTGGGACGGCCGAGGTCCATGTCTTTTGTTTTGTTTTGTTGTGTTTTATAGCAAATAATCCTTGTCTTTTGTTAGCTCATCTTCTGCATAGTATATCCGCGGCTCCCACTAACTTTGGCTACCTCTCCGTCCATCGTCATGACCATTAGAGGTTCTATATGTTGGATCCAGCCAGCCACTGGATGAAGGAATCTTTAAGACTCAGAAGGAAAAGTTGTTTTCTTATGCCCAGTTGTCATCAGCTGGTTATTACAAATTCACTGTCCTTAATCAGTTGTTCATTGCCTTTTGTCTTCGCGTGCTCCAAAGAACATCTCCAACATATTACTCAGCTCATCTGTACCAAAAAAATAGCAGAATAAATAATTCAGAGCATACTACTCATCCCTCTTTTTTTTCTAATCATATAGCAAACACGTATGCACACTCACACCTGTGAACAGATGCACATAGGCACTATCTTTATATACAGCTCCAAAATTCTAGGCGGACAGTCGTTAGATCTTGAGAATGATGAAGTCACCACAAGCGTCTCTCTATTGATAGACATGTCGTCTACGACAGGAAGACAACGACGTTAAATCCTGAAATGAAGTAGAAAACTATGAGCATCCATGCAAGGTTGAGAATTTGAAACTAGGTGGCTAGATTCCACCACAAGAAACAAAACCAACTAAGTACGTTCAATTCATGGTAGATTCCTCCTATCCCCAATACCTAAAATCTAGGTGGCTTCCATACAAGCCTGGACGCCAAAGTCGCCTTTGGCATGTACTCACGGAATTGTTTGTTTGGTCGTCTCATCATCTCTTCAAATGGATCCTACTGACTTCAAGCGTACACCTAGTGGCTAGCTCGCAACACCATGATTGTGGGGGTGGCATGCCTAAAGAAGGTAGTGTCATGGAATTACTGGCAAATTGTAGTTGTTCAAGACTAAGATTAATTAGTTTAGCTCAGAAAGAAGAGGAAACAATGTTGGCGAGTGGTCGTTTGGAGATCGGTTCCATGACTAGCGAGAAATACTAAAGTCTAGCCTTTGTTGGTTGTACATAGTAATGATGGCATTATTGCCGCTTCCTTGTTGAAGGAATGATTTAGAGTTCAATGAATTGCTCCCTAGGGTGAAGCCTATGGTCTGGAATTTACTGGTTGGATGATGGCAACGACAAACACATGCGTGTGTTGTATTCTTCTTGATGGTATTGCTTTTATAGGGCCTTCGTCATGGTCTATGTGTTACTTTGGTTGTGCACAAAAGTGAAGACTATAAGTTGTGTGTTAGCTTCCTGCGACATGATGTCATATTGTTATCTTTCAACAATCATAGCTAAGGTTGTGTGCAACCTAGCTATGCAAAGCCCAGGAATATCCTTGGATCGATTTGTATCACCTTAATACCATTGTTCGAGATCAATAAAGCTTTCTTTATCTTAAAAAACAAGAGTACGGGAGGTATTTTTTTTAAACAAAGGCAGGAGCTCTGCCGCTCAATTAAGACGAAAGACAATTATGTACAAAAAGGGTAGCCAAACGTGGTGCCAACACACGCCACACGAATGGCTGACCCACCCACGCGGCGCGGAAGGGAAACAAAACTGTCATGAGTCATCGTTGCCGAGCGTGGTTACAAAGCAACCAGCAGCTCCGACTTCCCAAGGCAGACACGGACGAACCTAATGAAGAAAAAAAGATGGCACAAAGCGAGAGGCCGCAACAGGTCATCGTTGCCAAGCTCAAAACAAAGAGCAGCTCCGACTTCCTATCTTGACCCTCTGCCCCGCCCCTGGCATTTGCCACACCTTCAAAGCCTCCCAGTAGACGAAAGAGGGGGTGGTTCGCCTCATGTCATCGTTGCCGAGCCACATCCCTTGACGTAGCAGTTCCGACTTCACGCTGCAAGTCCTCCCTCCACACGCAGACCGGGCACCGAGAAGCTAAGAGCATCAACCGAAGGCAACGTCGTGGTTGAGACGAGATCCATTCAGCGATGCCTTCAATAAGGGCATGACGTCGAGAATGCCACCGTCGCTCGTCCAAGATGGACCGGGTTTTCACCCGTGGAAGGCAGTGCTGGAGAACACGACGCCCTCAGCAGGGGATGCGGCGCCCACAGACATCGCCGTCGTCAAGGCTTTCGCCCAAAGGGTTCCCCAGCACAAACGTCCGACCAAGACCCGGACCCTATCCTGTTGTCGCCACCGTCGTCACTGCCCCTCCATCCCAACGAAACCCTTCCAGAGAGGCATCGACGCGCCAGCTGCACGCAGCAGCCGCATAGCTGCGTCGGCCGCCACTCCCTCTGGCCAGGTAACACGGGATCAGGCTTACCCTGCCGCGTGCGTCACACTGCCGCACACCGAAGCCCGTTGCTGAACGACGTCGCCGGCTCTGGCACCCGCAGCCGATGCTGCCGGGCATCGCCGGTCGCGAGTGTCCCACCACGGTGGGCGCCGCCCCCAGCCCAAAGGGCGCCGGATCCAGCCGCTAGGGCAGAGAACCCGGTGCCCCAAGCTGTCGCCGCCGCCCCAAGCCATGGGTCACCGGATCCGGCTTCCAGTGCACTGGATCTAGACGCCCAGGCCCAAGAGCAGCCCAGAACGTCGCCGCCGACGCTGCCATCGAGGAGGAAGGGGACGGTGGAGGGGAAGAAGGAGATCCCGCGGCCGCCACCATCGAGCGCCTGCCTAGGCTCCAACCGGCACTGCCACAGCCGCGGCCAGGCGGCTCCCCCGAGCCCCATGCGGCTCAGGCGAGGCCGCGCCTAGCCGGCCCGCTGCAGCCTGCGCCGCTGCACTGCCAAGGTGCGAGGATGAGAGGCCCCGCCGCCGCCATCCCGGCGAGCTGCACGGCCTTGCCGGCAGCCTGCTCCGGCGGCGGCGCGGCAGGGGAGGGGGGGCGGCGGCTGTGGTCGGGCCACCCGAGTCACCCGCGTGGGAGGGGCGACGCGGGGGCGAGACGAAGTCGAGTCAGTACCGTCCCTTGTGCTTTTTCGTTAGAGTACAGGAGGTATGAGTCAACAAGATTGAGGAGCCTGCAAATCCCCAGGATTCAGTCTTATATTGGTGGATTTAATAGATAAAAAAGCATCATCCCTCAAATTTCCTCTCTCCCTCTCTCATCCCTCAAAAGGGAAGAAAAGCCCTCCAACAAATGAGAGAGGGGCTCGGGTAGCTCTTTTAGCTGATTTTAATATATTACAAAATGGACCTCATACAGCTTATTACAAATGAGTCCATAGACCAGACGTAGAAGCAATCAAATGGTGATTGCCCAAATAAGCCTCAAATGGTGTCAATAGGAGCTGCAAGCCTGCAACATCACACAGATTAATTATATCATGTAGATGAATGGCTTACCATGCATTCCCTCTAATGGACGATAATAAATGAAAAGTTCTGCGAGAAATGAAAGGGCTCTGCCATAGAATCGTCAGGTTGTGTCATGCTCATGCAGGAATAATGCCGTGTTTGGACACTACAAGTGTCGTTTGGTTAGCTGCAGTTTGGAGTTGGGGTTCATCTGCTTTGCAGTCTTTGGGTATCCAGTGTGATGTGTTCAGACACTACGAGTGTCGTTTGATTAGCAGTAGTCTGGAGTTGGGGTTAATCTGCTTAGCAGTCTTTGGTCGTTAGACCATGGTTTTGTATTGGTTCAGTTTGGTTGCACCCATTCGGTTATGAATGTGGGAGACCAGAATACATTTGTTCCTTAATCTAAAAAAAAAGCTTTAGGAAAGAAGGTGAGCTGAACCATGCAACATAATCCAGGCATCCAGGTTTAGGCAAGATGGTGAGCAAGCCGTGGAAGAACCATGCATGGAGGCATGGACCGGACCCAACGTCATCCACATCGATGGCTCGCCACATCGGTCGTCTCACCAAACAAGCATCTTGAGACGGTTCGAAGATCAACAATCAACAACCAATATAATGTCAGGTGATGGCACATCGATGACCATCGTCGAAGGACGAGCTAACCGTACCCCCAGGTTTTTCAGAGCGTCCAACAACTGTCTCTCGTCTCTGCATCACAATTCACAAGACAGTCGAGACTGCGTCTGCAAACTGTTATCGACTGCTCTTGAGCTTAGCCTCCTGCCAGCTCGTCGGCCCACCAACGGCCTCCACCTCGAGCCTCCATGCACTGGCCCTCGTCGTGGCACTCATGCTAGTCCTAGGCAGCAGCACTTGCCATGCGGCCCGCCTGCTCACCGACGCCACGGCGCCCGCTGCGGCACCGGCTGCCGTACCTGGCATCCCTGCCCAGCCGAAGCCGACCGTGCCAGCGGTCCCCGCCATACCTGCCGTCACCTTGCCGCCGATGCCTGCCGTTTCCGTGGTCACCGTGCCGCCAATGCCTGCGGTGCCTTCTGTCCCCGCGGTGACCGTGCCAATGGTGCCTGCTGTGCTAGCCATGCCCAAGGCCGCCGCGCTGCCATCCGTTCCGTTCCAGCCATCGTCATGCCTAAGTTGACGCTGCCGCCGATTCCGTCGGTTCCTTCTGTCCCCGCGGTGACTGTGCCAACGGTGCCTGCTGTGCCAGCTATGCCGAACGCCGCCACGCTGCCTCCCGTTCCAGCCGTCGTCGTGCCTAAGTTGACGCTGCCGCCGGTTGCTTCCATCCCCAAGGTGACGCTGCCGCCGATTCCCTCCTCCATCCCTGGCGTGCCAACAATGTCATCCCTCGCGCCACCTCCGAAGGCACCCAAGCCTCTCTGCTTCTGCAGTTGTCTTGGCATGTGTCACAACATTAGCATT